TACTCAGAACAATTGGGCCATTAATCAATAGCCCAGCCCAGCCCAAACTTATAATATTACTATTAAATTATTTATTTCTATTTTAATTTGGTCCCACGTGCTTTTCTTTTAATTCATTTTCGTGTTTTGAATATTCTTTAAAAAATTGTTAATATTTTATTATGAAAACACATTTTATTTAGAAATAATTTATTTTTAAAAAATGTTATACTTAAAATATGTCACACAAATAATTTATTTTTTAATTTCAAAATATACCCGTAATATCTCTCGAGACTTCAAATAAGATATATTATTTTATTTTTCTATCAATTAATTTCTATGCTTCAAAATAACGTGTTCATATTGTATAAGTTGAAAAAACGAACACGGACACGCACATGTACACAAAAGCAAGAAATTACATTACAAACCGACTTAAAAAGAAAAAGAAATCGAGCCAAGAAAGAACGAGACAAACGGAGACAAGGAAAGATGAAGCAAGAGAGACAAAAAAGATAAAGAAAATGAGAGAACTCCATAAGTAGAAAAAAAAAGCCCGAACAACCTCCTTTTAATCGAGGCTCGACTCCTTTTCTAGAGTTCTCAAACAAAGTATACCCTTTGTTCGATATTTGAAAGTCACTTTTGACTACTCTTTCGAGGCTCACAAATTTTTGTTCGATATTTGAGAATTCTACTGACATGACATGGTTAAGTTAAGGGCATAACTCTGATAACATGTTAGGAATTACGAATCTTCACAATAATATAATATGTACATTTCGTGCATAAGGTCTCATGATTTTGTCTTTAACTTCTCGAACCCGTCTCATACAATGGTAGAAAGAAAAAACAAATCACTCACTACACTCCATGGTGTTTCTCTCTCCTCCATTAATTTTTTGTTTTTATCTCTTTATCTCTCTTATTTGTGATAGAAAGATTCCATTTTCCAAAGTGGGCAGCAAAAGTTACCAACTTTAGAGGCAACTAACCCTAAAATTATGAGGTATTGGGGATATGTACCGTAAGTTACAGTGTATCTTACATCAGTTACCGTAGATCTTGGAGAATCATAGACCTATAAATAGGTCAAAGTCAACAGATGTAGGATCTATGGCCCACGTTTTCCTTGTTTGAGGTTGCAGTATAGGGTACTATACCCTATAACCAAATATGCCTTTCTTATATGATACCTTTGTTTAAGTGGGCAGGACCATAATTGATGTGGCTGGTTATACATTTTCTTTACAAAATGACTAATTATATGTTTTATATCGGTTTAGTGTCGAACGTTGTCAAAATCTCGTACCGACTAATTATTAAGGAAAAAGTCGATCTATATACGAAGTTCGAAGAAAATTCATAAGAAGTTATCCGACGTAGAATTGGTCCAAATAAAACATGTTTAATCCTACAGTTCCTATAATTGAGCTACCGAAAAGGAAGGTAAACCTTGTTCGTATAGGTAATGACTTTTCATTTTTTAAAAATCTTTCTTAGTCATTCTATCCTTATGATCGCTCTCATTCAGATGTAATATCAATTCATTCATGTATCCCTAATTTATTTGGGTGTCACATGCCCACCAGCTTATACTTTGATTCGTCACTGAACCACATCTTATTAGGAGGTACCGCATTGATACCATTTGTAAGGACCCATTTCCAAAATTCGAATACGAATTTGGAATCTCGATTCGGTAGGGGAATGTCGAGGTTATCATGTGCCGAATTCAGATTCTGAATCTTTATTCGACTCTTGGGCTTGGGTCGTTACAGTCCTTTTGTTTTTGTTTTTAACGTTAGGGACTAATAGAAATAAATATTAAAGTTCAACAACATATTAAACGTTTTTTTTTATCATATTTATAAATGGGAAAAAATCTATTTAAATTAATATTAAATCATTGGTTTGATTTAGTAACAATAAGGATAAGATCGAAAATGTCGAAATATTTGAGAAACTAAATTAAAAAATTAAAAAAAAAAAAAAGGGAATATTCCTTAAAATTTTTAATTAAATATAAAAATAAGACAAATATTCGAATAAGTTGTGAGCTATGACAACCAATCATGAGGCTAATTCAGGCCACGTGAACACGCATCACGATCTTGATGCATGAGTTCACGTGATTCCTAACTTATAAAAATCCTACGTGGAAATATTATTTAAATTATTATGTTTGGATTAAAATTATTTAAATTTAATCTTGTTTTAGTTGGCTTTTATGTTTAGTCCATTCCTAATAAGGAAAAAGTCGATTAATTTTTTTTTGAAATTGTTCTCTAAAAATAAGACTATTTACAAATGGATTGGTCAAGTTATTTAAAAACATTTTCTATCTTAAAATTTGTTCAGAATTAACTATTTACAGAGTGTACATTCAATTGACAACCCGGACTAATCCGACCTGAAATATAAGGGTTGGGTTGAGTTGAATTAGCTTTTCGAGTTGGTTTGAGTTCATTGTTTTTAACCCAAATTGTCTTGGTTCGGTTTCAGGTTCATGAAACAAAACCCTCAGATTGATACAAGCCAAATAAAAATATATACGATATACTAAGAAATTTACATTAAGGATGAGTTTGCCCGAGTGGTATTTTAAGTGTTCATATTGATTGAGATTTGTATTTGTTTGTCAACTTTGTTTTTGTTAACTTTTATTATCTTTTATCCAACCTTGTATCCCAAAAATTATAAATAGTGGATAAATAATTTTTTTTAACAACGGAACCTAGCCCGAACCAAACTCGAAAATTTTCGGGTTGGGTTGAGTTACAAATCTAACCAACCGAATTTTTGGGTTGGGTATGTTGGATGATGAAAGTCCCACATCGGCTAATTTAGGGAATGATCATGGGTTTATAAGTGAGGAATACTCAATGATCATGGGTTTATAAGTGAGGAATACTAACTCCATTGGTGTGAGGCCTTTTGGGAAAGCCCAAAGCAAAGCCATGAGAGCTTATACTCAAAGTGGACAATATCATACCATTGTGGAGAGTCGTGTTCGTCTAACATGGTATCAGAGTCATGCCCTAAACTTAGCCGTGCCAATAGATTGGCAAATCCTCGAATGTGAACAAAGGACTCCAAAAAGGAGTCAAGCCTCCTTGAAGGTACATAAAAAATGACTATGACTCCTAAGACTTTTTTAAAAAAGACTCCTTATCCTTGAAGGTACGAAGGCAGTAAAAAATGACTAAGACTCCAAAGAAGTCAAGCCTCGATTAAGGGGAGGCAACTCGACCATGTACACCCCTAATTTATGGCGTTGTAAAGATAACTAAATCATAGTCGAAATAAAGATTAAAAACTATTTATTATTCCTATATTCGTATATTGGACCCTCTACTCGGTCAGAAAATGTAAACATATATAACTATGACTTCGTGTTTTATGGGACCTGAAATTATGTCGCTAGCCTTAACTTCAAATGTCAATCCAAGGTGAATTTCGATGTATAGTACTTTTCTACGTACGACCCATGCACATATGCATGGACCCACTAGATGAAATACCACATTTTTTTGTAAACGCTAGATCTACACATAGAAATAGAACCCAAAATCATTCTTATAGGTATGTGTTCGTACAAACATATAAGAAAAAGTTTATGGTCAAGGTATATATGACATGCATAAAAAAATTACGGTTTCATAAGATAATGCATACGATACTTCCATAATCAATGCATTTCTGACATACTCTATAACATATTCAAATTCATGGTGCCTCGAGAGTCATACCCATGATCATAAGATTTATATGCATGAAAATACAATACATCACATAAACACACATACATAGACATACTATTATCATATAACACGTAATAAACAACCACAAAATACGTGTTAATCATACCACATAACAATTTCACCTAACAAACCCTCAAGGTGTTCCGGTAGTGAGTTTACTTTCACTTCAGGCTCAACTTGGTACTCCTAAACTTGCTTTGTCCGAACATCTTTAGGTTCACTTTCCTGCCGTCCAATTTCACATATGAAATTGAGCATAGAGACCGTCCATTCAAGAAACCAACATCACTTAACTATCCTAAGATCAATCCAAAAAAGTATCGAAGTTGTCCAAAACAATAGCCGTATTCACCTCTTTTGGTCTTAATGGTAGAATAGGATAAAAATCACTAAACCGAGCCGTTTAAGCCAAACAATTCTTAAGAATGATGGTAGGTGATACGAGCTCAAAACCTAATAATTGAAAGAAACAATATCACGATCAAATTAATCAAAATCGATAAAAAATAAATAGACATTTTATACTTCTAAAATTACAAGAGCCAAATTGCAAACACGACCCAAATTGAAATTAACCACAATAAAATTTTAAATATCGAAACTAAAAGAATTATCGTTGTCTCCATTTTTTAGAAATATCGATTAAAATTGTTAAGAATAAGAAATAAAATTGAGATCGGATGTGCACAAACATATGAGTGGGATCAAAAGTCCAATTTTCATTAATGTTCCCCCGTTTAAATAGAATACAAACTACCGACTAATACAAAAAATATAAACTAATTAAATTTTGAGAATAAAATAAAATATACTAGTAATCAAATCATGAACAAAAAAAAAAATATTAACTCAGAATAACGACCGGAAAACATTAAAATAAAATTCATATAAAATAAAAATTTAGTTTTTTTTTTTTTTTTATTTCTTAAAAAAATATTTGTCGAACTAAAAAAAGAAATATATATTTTTTCATTAAATTTTCTTGTCATTCCCCAAACAAAAAGGCTATTTATTTTCTGACTAACTTTTTATTTATTTAAAAACTTTCCAAATCCAATAGTGGGCCCAGATACACTTGTCATTAACGGTCATCAAACGGAACCGGCCGGTCCGGTTCAATAATTCGCACCATTTAATACGTCAAAAAAAAAAAAAAAAAAAAAAAAAAAAAAAAAAAAAAAAAAAAAAAAAAAAAAAAAAAAAAAAAAAAAAAAAAAAAAAAAAAAAAAAAAAAAAAACAAACGAACAATCCGGCCGGTCCAAATGGATTGGCTAAACGATTTCCTTCTCTTCTTCTACACCTTCATTCACCCATAATCTTTGTTCTTTTCTGCTCCAATCTCCTCAACAATGGCGTCTCTACAAGAATTGCTCACTCGAGAAGGCTTCGAGGGGGAAAATTTCTCCAATAATCGAAAGCCCTCGAGGCCCAATGGAGGAGGAGGAAGAAGAAGAAGAAGAAGAACAGTTTCAGATGGCTCTGTTACTCTGCCCATTTACATATGCCATGACAAGAAAATCATCGATTCTTCAAAGAAGAAGCTCGATAAAGCTCTTGTGCGAAATGGGTCTTCGGTATATTCATCGAAACGAGTGGGTTCGGTTTCCGAGACCTCGCTCTGTAAATCAATGGAGGGTTCTAAAGTGGAGGAGCCCGCCATTGATGGAATTGCTATTAGAGCTGTGGTTTCGATTCTTAGTGGGTATGTGGGTCGGTACTTAAAGGATGAGAGTTTTAGGGAAATGGTGAGAAAAAAGTGTAAATCGTGTGGGATTTGCGGCAATTTGGAGATGGGTATGAAGAGTGTTGATAGATTAGTTGAAGAACGTTATGGAAATGAAAAGGAATTGAGAGTTAAAGCTTCGAGGAATTCCATTGGGCTTCTGAATATGGTGATTTCCGCAACAAAAACGATGAAAAATGGTACTCGTTCTCATCTCTCTGCTTGTGCTCTGCTTTATTTAGCGATTGTTTATAAGATAGAGAAGAACGAGAAGGTTTCTGCTAAGCATGTTCTTCAATTGTTCTGTGATTATCCATTTTTTGCTCGAACCCATTTGCTTCCTGAGCTTTGGGAGCATTTTTTTCTCCCCCATCTTCTCCATTTGAAGGTTTGGTACAATCAGGAGCTTGAATTTGTGTCTAATTTGGATTATGAACACAAGAACAGGACAATCAAGGCCTTGAGTAAGGTCTATAATGAGTATATGGATATGGGAACTGCTCAATTTGCAGTGTATTATATACAATGGCTCAAAGATGGAGCCAAAGCTCCTCCTGTTCCTGTGGTGTCTTTACCTTCAAAATCCATCCATGGAATGTCGAGAAGGTCGTCGGATTCGTACTTCTCGCAGTCGTCGTCGTCGAATAAGAATCTGTAAGTTCATCAAGGTTATGTTTCTTTGCATTATTTGAAGTTATAGATCCATTTGAATAATAATTTGATGCGTTTTGTTTTATGTTGCTATGGTGATGAAAATAGATATCATGCTGTTTTTGGTCCCAGTCTTGACCAGCAATTGGCCGAGTTGAGGTCTGCAGCTAAGGCAAGGAGTTCAAACGAAAGTAGTGTTCCTGTTCATGTCTGTAACTCTATCACCATCTTCAAAATCAAATCATTTTGTTCGTTTCGTTAAGATAATCGTCTGAACTATCTTTGTTGGCTTCGATATTGTTTATGCAGGACGAACTTAGCAACGGTATAACGTCGTCCATCCTCCGTTACAAAACTCATAACACAGACTCATGGCGTGAGACCGTGAAGTCTGACTATTTTAGTTTCTTCACATGTCAGAACATAACAAAAGAACACTCAGAAAGTAGTAATATAGTTGCGAAAAACGCTATCCGAGTGGAAGGACGAAACCATAATCTTTCTAGTGTTGTGAGCAGGGCCATAGCTACAATCTGCTCGTCGGATATTTTAAATGACTGTGAGATAGCTGTTCGTGTCGTAACGAAAGCTTGGTTGGATGCTCACGGTGACGCTGCCATTGAGGTTGCGTTATCAAAGCCACCGGTCATTGAGGGAATGCTAGAGGTTCTGTTAGCTTCCAATGATGATGAGATTTTAGAATTAGTGATATCAGTTTTAGCTGAACTTGCTGCAAAGAATGAGATTATTAGACAGATTATATTGAGTTCTGATCCACAGCTACAAGTGTTTCTTAAACTCTTGAAAAGTAGTAGTTTATTTCTTAAAGCATCAATTGTTCTTTACTTATCAAAGCCACAAGCAAAACAAATGGTTTCTGTTGAATGGTTACCTCTAGTTCTTAGAGTATTAGAGTTCGGAGGTCAATTACAAACGTTATTCTCGGTTCGGTGCATGCCACATGAAGCAGCATTTTACCTTTTAGATCAACTTCTTAAAGGGTTTGATGAAGATAGAAACTTAGAGAATTGTAGACACTTGATTGCTCTTGGTGGATTAAGTTTGCTGCTAAGAAGGTTGGAGGAAGGTGAGATTGAAGAACGAAAGAAATCCGTTTCGATAATTATGTGTTGTATTCGAGCTGATGGGAGCTGTCGAAACTACTTGGCCGAGAATATGAACAAAGCTTCACTTCTTGAACTTATTGTTCATGAAAGCAACACAAACTCTGATAGGTGTGGTCTGGCTTTGCTTGTAGATCTACTCTGTCTTAGTCGGTATGGAACGTTTTTTTGTTCTTCTTGCTTTTTTGTTGCATTATAGTAGCTTACTCATTAACCGAGCTTCTTGAATACAGAAGAACAAGGATCAGTAGACTCTTGGATGGACTTAAAGATGGATGGAATGGCTTGAGCATCATGAACGTTTTGTCGGTCTACCTTCAACGAGCTCGGCCCGAGGAGCAGCCTTTAGTTGCAACAATACTATTGCAGCTTGATTTCATGGTAACTTGGTCTCTTTGACAAGCAAATAGAACACTTGTGACTGACTGTTCATCAGTGATTGCTTTTAAATACTTTGAAATTGAATGGTTCCCACATGAAGTTGCAGTCACATTGCAGGAAGACCCTCTCAACTGCACCATATTCCGGGAAGAGGCCATCGTGACTATAATAACGTCCTTGAACGCTCGAATATCTCATGAAAAAACACAGGAGAATTTGGCGAGAGCTCTCTTGATTTTGGGAGGTCGGTTTTCGTGTACCGGAGAACCAACTATAGAAAACTGGCTGTTACAACAGGCAGGTTTCAAAGAGAACTCTGGTGGTTCATTCCACAGCAAACACATGTATGACGATTTCGTGCAGTCGGTAAGCTTCATCTCCAAATCTCTTAGATTCTGTTATCTTTACCCGAAAACGATTCACTTATTTGTTTAATAATTTTGCATCACTTCAAAAATCAAATGGTTAGTATGAAGAAGAAGAGGAAGTGGTGAATTGGCAGCTGAAAGCAGCTACTGTGTTTTTCAACCATGGACATAAGAGTTTATTGTCTGCGCTTTCGACATCGATGACGAGTTGTATCCCAAGTCTAGCTAAAGCATGTCTTGTCATGGTTTCGTGGATGAGCAAATACCTGTTTGTTGTTACTGACGACAAGTTATGTTTGATGGCACCCTCGATTCTAGTACCACCTTTGATAAAATACTTGAATTATGACAAAGAGGTCGAGGACCAAGTACTCGCATCATATTCTTTGCTTAATCTGAGCAAGTATACAGGTAAGAGTTCTTTCACTCTACATTTTCAGTCAAGTATAACACCAAACATCCTCATTGTTCTTTTGTCTTGTATAGAATGTAAGCATATCTTTCGATTGTTCGATGAAGAAGCTCTCGACCATCTTCGAAACCTTTCTTTAGTGACATGGACAGCTGAAGAACTCATTTCGATCGTCGAAAGTGGATCGACACATCAGTATACTGAAACAAGCTCAAGAACATGATTCAGGTTTCTTCTTTTTTCCTGGTTGAATCCATTTCCTGCTCATCATGATTCAGGTTTCTGTGTTTGTTTGATTGTTATGTTTCAAGCTTTTACGTGTAATTTGCTGTTAAATTTGTGAGCTCCAGTCGTTTTGTACATAGGAAAGTATAAAGAAAAAGGCATTGTTAATGTGAAAAACTTGATGATTGAAATATGAAGTTGAGCCGTTTTGTTTATGTGGGATTGTGTTGTTTTGGAGTAAGGCAAGCATTAGGTGATGTTGCTTTCAGAATTTGGTGGGAAGTTTCTATTAGTGTCTTCTGATAAATGGGGTGAGGATGCATTATGAGGGAGAGGCAAGTGTAAGTGAGGACGATGTCACGTGTGAGATTGTATGTCGGTTGGAGAGAGGAACAAAACATTCTTTATAAGGGTGCGGAAACCTCTCCCTATCAGATGCGTTTTATAACTGTGAGGCTGACGACGATATGTAATGTGTCTAAGTGGACAATATATGCTAGTGGTGGGTTTAAGCTGTTTCAAATGGTGTTAGAATTAGACATTGAGTGGTGTGCTAGCAAGGATGTTGGACCCACAAGGGGGGTGGATTGTGAGATCCCACATTGGTTGGAGAGGGGAATGAAACATTCCTTATAAGGGTATGGAAAGCTCTCCCTATCCGACACGTTTTAAAACCATGAGGCTGATGACTATACGTAAACATGCCAAAGCGGAAAATATCGACTAGCGGTAGCTTAGGTTGTTACAAATGATATCAAAATTAGACATTGAGTGGTGTGCCAACGAGAACGCTGGGTGCTCCAGGGGGTGGATTGTGAGATCCCCACGTTGGTTGGAGAGGGAACGAAACATTCTTTATAAGGGTATGGAAACCTCTTCCTATCAGACGTGTTTTAAAACTGTGAAGCTGACAACGATCAAAACGAACAATATTTGTTAGCCGTGAATTTGAACGATTGCGCTCAAGTTTTTTTTCCTTACCTATTGAAGCTTATGGCTCTCAAGTCTTTGCATCTTGGGTAGTGGCAGAGCTTCACATCTCTAGACGTGTTTGAGTTCAAGATGACTTTTAGAGTAGTGTTTTTAGGCGAAGTATTTTTCTTTTTATTTATGTGCTTTTAACGCACCTATCGTTAGAGGTATAGCGGTGTTTTGGCTTTAGTGTGACCTACAAAAGGAGAAGAAATTGTATACCAATGTGGTACAAAGATTTTGTGTAACGACCCATGTCTAGGATTTGAAATCCAGATACAGTACTAATGGTTTCGACATTCCCTTGTCCCCTGCGATATGGTCACGTTACCTACTCCTTACGTCTTAAGAGTGAAGACCATCAAAGACTATCTCCACAGATCAAACACATTACCTACTCATCTCTTCTTAAGAGTGAAGACTATTGAAGACTATTCTCACCGACCAGCACGAGTCTTTCCAGAATACTTTGTCTTCACTCACATGCATCCCACAAAAATTTCTAGGAGGTCACCCAATATAGAGTTGCTCCCGATAAAACACCTTTACCATGAAATTCCTATAATTGAACAACTGAAAATAGGTGCACTTTATTAATATAGGTAGTAACTTTCATTTCCTTCACAACTTTCTTAGTCATCATATCCTTAGAATCGCTCTTATTCATATGTGGTCTCAGTTCATTCATATATCATTTTTTTACTCGGATATCACATTTTTGTTCTCATTTCTTCGGCAAACTAAAATGAATTGAATAAAGGGTACCACTAGTCAAGGGCATGTATGACGCATGCCCCCTTATAGAGATTGACCTCATGCCGAGGCCGAGGGATTGGATTAAGCTCAAATCGTTCTCTTCTTCTTTGCCTCATGACCTGATCCTTCTATATTAACGTGAATTTTGTCCTCCTATTAATTTCGTCTTTGATTTTCCTCGTAACCAGAGTTTGTTCTCTTGGTCTAAATTTACTGGTAACTCTATTCTAACATCATTGCCCTTTGCAATACCTTCCAAAAACATCTTTTCGAGAGATAGTTTCATCATAACACATCAACAAAAATTCGATTTGTTTCCTTTTTTAATTAAATCCTTTTCTTAAGGATCACTTTTTCAAAAAAAGAAAAAAGAAAGTTGAGCTAACTTTTCATTCTAACTATCTTACACGACAAAATATTTTTGATTATAAGTCTTAATTATAACAAAAGGAAGGAATGAAATCTAACGACCAACACGAAAGGACACCTAAACATATATGTTTTACGTCGAATCATAAACGTTTTGGAATTGCAATGAAAAATGTAGAAGAAATAATAAGGTAAGGAAGAAAGTTCCAAGTTGGTATTGCATTATTTATTTCATGTTGAGAAGATGAGGCCATGTTGAAGTCTATGATTATAAAGACAATAGAAAGCTATTATAGCTTTGCCAACCAAAACAAAACAAACCAAAACCCACCACTCTTTGTCCTATGCAACCAACCAAACTAAACCAACAAGGTTCGGTCAAAAATTACTTTCGGTTCCTAAGCTTAGCCTGGTCTATAATGATTTAGTTTATGTACTTTCAATTTTGTTATAATTTAGTCTCTAAATTAATAAGCAACAATTTAGTCGAACGGTTTAGTACTTAATGTGAAAATTAATGTTGAAATTTAACGTTTTTTTTTTATAGGTAGGTTAATAAACGAATAGGAATCATATAGGTAGATTAATAAACGAATAGGGGACTCAAGGTGTTTATAAGCTACCGAGTCTAAATTCTTTTAAAAGGCTAAATTAATAAAAATACCCTCAAACTTTCAAAAAAGTCATTTTGTAAGGACCGAGCTGACGCAATGACTCTAAATAGATGGGTAAATTTTTCGTAAAGTAAGACAAATCAAATTTAAAACATAACATACATTATATTTATATTATAACAAAATAAAGTTTATACAGAGTGTTTAAAACACAAAATATTTTAACACAAAAAAGGTTGAAGACGACGGGTGGGTTTGTCTATGGCAATGGCTCCAAAGTCCGCTCCCGACTTCGACTAGCTCCTTACCTGGAAAAAAAAATGGAAAATAAGGAATGAGTACAAAGACTTAATAAGCAACCTACTTGTAAGCTCTTAATCATGTTCTTGATATGTTAGGGTACCACACTCTTTCTTTTCTTGTTCTTGTTCTTGTCGTGAGTACTTAGGCCCTCTAGTTTCTTATTCTTGACTTGTGGGTTCTTATCATGTTCTATCCCAAAGACCTTGGTCCTTGGATTCTGAAACCTTGATTATTCTCTGAGGGGCTTAGTACTATGGTTCTTGTCCTTAGAACTTGGATCTTGATCCATGTTAATGTTCTAGCCAAGCATGATGTATCATGGGGGTCTTACATGCATGAACATGACATAGACCATAAAAGTTACATGATCGGTGCATGCATGAACATGACATAGACCATAAATGTTACTTAATTGGTGCATGCATGAACATGACATCCTACAAATCCTTGGGTACCCATAACATGTTGCAGGACATCTCATCTAGGTGGGGGAAACATGAGGCCAAACATGACATCTTGCAAAGGAAACATGGTGCAGGACATCCCACCTAGAAGATGAAACATGACCTCTAAAAGCACCGCGTGGTGGGAGGTTATGGGTCACAATTGGACATGCTTAGAGTATTACCTAGAATTCTTGAGTTTCTCATTCTGAGGTTCATGACCCCTTATCCTTGTGTGGTACTTAGCATTCTTCTTGCCTTGGTAGTTGTAGAACTTGTGTGGTATTGTTCTTTGTTCTCAATCTTGTAAGTTCCTAAGGTTCATAATTCCTTGAGGCATAAGTTGTTACATGCATTCCTAATCATATGAACCCAACATAATAACTAGCATGAGTTATTCTAGAAAGTCATAGATTTATAATGGATTCCTTAGAGGGTTCTAGAAAGGTCTTGAATCTTGAGGTGTTTCCTTAAGGCGTTTCTTAAGTTCTATCTTGGTTTAGTTTCCAAACTTCCTCCGATCAACTTGAAATCTTGAACTTATCCTCCTGTCATATAGAATAGGTCTTATAGAAAATAGTTGGAGCATGTCTAGACCTTGAGCTAGAATATGATTTCTTGTTTCGTCTTCAAGAACTAAACCTTAGAGGCTGTCATGTCATGCATCGTATTTCAGCCCTGAAAAATCTTCCAAAGTAAACTTTAATTTTCTCCCTGTGAGTACATAGGTGGCGTTGTAATAACTGTGGTATCCTGCTGGCAAATGGTAATGCAGGGCATCCCATTTAGGTGAGAGAAATAATAGGCCCATCATGGCATCCTGCTCTTGGTACATATAATAGGGCATCCCACCTAAAGAGGAATAGGAGCCTCGTGGTACACCTTGTGATGGGAGATAATGGTTACTTCGGGCATGAATCTTGTAACTTGTTAAGCATGATAGTTGCATTAACCTAGGTGTTTTCTTGTATTCTTGGTGATCCTAGGTTTTTTTTGCATAATGTCTTGGGTCAAGCTTGGAACTTAAAAGTTCTTCTTATGAATAGCCTGATGGTGTTAATATAACACATGCGAAAGCAAGTTGGATCTTAGGCACTCTAAGTACATCAATTATAGTAAATTAGCTAGCATGTTCAAAAATATTAAAACTAAATGAGTTTGAATACTAACATTTTGTCGCTCAAGTTTCTTTTTCCTCATGAACCGGTTTCGAACCACCACTAGTGTCTTCTCCACTATTTTCCGGCCTTAAAACGGGATTATGGAATCCGGTGAGTGACTAAACTTGGGAGGAATTTAGTATATATGAAGAGAGAGTTTGTGAATTTTTTTTTTCAAGGTTTTTTTCCTTGGAAGAACTTCCATGTACCATGATCATTCTATTTATAGAGTCATGTTTGCATGTTCATGCAAATTTGAGATCACACAAAATTCCACTCAAATGTTTGGGATTATGTGGCAAGCACGAAGGTTCACCAAATTTTGATACTCAAAATTCTACTAAAATTTGTAGGGTTTATTTGGCAAGCATGCAAGGGTTAAACCAAATTTTGACACCTCAAAATTCCATTAACTCAAACATGGATTTTTCCATTAAATTAAGTAAACGATTGATTCAACAATTAATTTGAATTATTAATTTCAAATTAAAGTAATATTAAATGATTAATTAAATTATCAAATTAATATTTAATATTAATTCAAATGCTAATTCCAATTAATTCCGACACATATTTGATTAAGATATTTAAATCTTATTTAAATATCTCATATTCTCTCTTTTTGTTTAATTCGTAAATAAAACAAAAATGTGGTTAAATATATCGTATATATGTAGCGCATTCTCCCTAATTTGAATTCGAACACTTCGAACTCACTCATCATATGTTTAGTCCGATATGAGCTAGCAGAGGAACCTAATGAACCTATAGATCATGGGCTCCAACGATCCAAGATTAGCCAGTTAAACTCATTAACCTTGTTAACCAATATTCGTTAACTACTAGGACATTCTACTATTAGTTGCACTCCTCTCACTATAGATATATTTTTGTTCATTTGATATAACCATGATTAGTAAGTCGATCCTTCACAGGTTGTTCGTAACTAGAGTTGGGTTAATTTACCGTTTTACCTCTGAAGTTACTTCTTGTTCCTTATGTCTCACTGATCCTCTAATGAACAATTGGTTTGTGGTCCAACTAGTAAACTGAATCCCTCTCAGGCCAATGAGAGGGTGAGACCCCTTGTTCAAGACCTAAAGTCAGTACTTAAGGGAACTACCTCTCTTCTATCCCTAAAAGTGGCTAGGAGTGAATTCCATCTTGCACCCCACGTCCCCAGCCATTCACCCAGTCTTTCCCCTGAAATGGGAGGCCTATTGAGTAGGCAAACTTGAGCCACTCTCACCATGAAAATATAAGGATAATTCCGAATAAACAAGAGTTCATGGTTAGCTCAGGATTAAAATCGAGTTACCTAGGTCATCAAATGAAAAGAAAATCAGTCTCAGTAATAAGCGACATTATAAAGTGAGTGATTTTCTTCATGGTTCGATCTTATGCAATACTCATTGCATATGACGCCCCCACTCACATGTCTCCGCATGTACAATTTAGTGATCACATTGTTTATGTCATGTAAAAAAGTGGGCCGCATCCATAGTGTCCCAAGGATAAGGTACTCAGCCTTATCCTTGTACTGTAGATCATTTTGACTATATACTTGAACTTGATCTACTCTTATGTCTCTACATATAGTTCAAGTAATCATACTATAGTCAGAGTGTTCTTAGTTTATTGGATTTAGATTAATAATCGTAAAGTTCACTTTATTCAATAACAATCTTTACGGAATAAACGAACAATAATAACTTTAATGAAAATATAATATGTTTTTGTTTACAAACTATGAGTTTTAGGACATAAAACCCAACATAGCCCAACGTGATCTCATGCACATAGGGTTTTATTATCGATCAAGGGTACATGTGGGAAATCTCTTATTTCATGGATACCTCGTTAGTCATCCTAGGAGGTAAAGTCGTATGGATCGTGATGATCGTTTTCCCCCATATCTTGGTTTCACTACTTACATTTTCCAATGACTTCATTACATCATCAAACATCATAAAATAAGATCTACTACAGAGTTTCATAGCATTTGGAGGTCATCTAGGTCATGAACCGAAGGTAAATTACCTTAGGGGCATTATGGTCATTTTACATCGTTTATTGGTTACCTACTTATTTTTATCCAACAACCACCAAATTTCATATATAACCTCAACATGCTATAATATGCTCAACATTAAAATTTCATAGGCATCATAGTTCATCTATTGGGTTATTTTAAGGTTATTTACATTCGGATCAATTTGGTCGATTCAGGGCCTTAACTCATGGTTCTTTGAGTTTTTCTTTCATATATCCTTAATTCATACTTGGTTTATGGTTCATATGAAAATCCAAGTGATTCATACAAGTATTTCTTAAGAAAAGTCCAAGGTGGTTACTTACCTCATCGTCGACGTTCGGGACTTTCGTTCTTGAGCTTTCGGTATCCAAATTACTTCAAATTTCCTCCACAGATTTCTTATTGTATCTAGTTTCTGGAACCATAAACATTTTCATGAGAACTGGTTTGAAAGGGGGGAAAATTGAGAAAAATCAAGGGAAGATCAGATTTTTGGTTGACTTGGCCAGTTCAGTTGAACCGGCCACGTCAGTCTTCTTCCTCCAGACAAGAAGAAGACATGCGTTTTCATTGCGCCGCTGTCTGAAACTCGAGCTCCACAGCTCTGATCACGTCATTTCTCCCATCTTATTTCAATTTTCATTATGTCAAAATTTCTAATTTATTTTAGAGGCAGTGATAGAAACAAAGAATCTAATTTTCATGCTGTTCAACTAGTGGAAATAAATTATCTACTCTTTCTCACATTTAAAAGTAGATTCTTCCCCGCTCTCAATTGTATATTAAATAGATATCTCTTACAAAAACTAAATAGGTTAGTATCTTAAATATATATTATTTTAACTTCAAATTTAATAACTCATTTAACACGTAACTTAAATAACGTAAAATTATGATATTTAAGAACGGTGACCATGAGATTATATGAAAAACTCTTCGACAAAAAAGAAAAATATTAATATTATGTGAATTTTTTATTCAACGACAAAAGGCGGTTTCTTCTGAAAGATACAGAGGCGGTGACGGTTGCTGACAGCGGCGGTCTCCGATCGACACGTACGTATACCAAAACCAAAAGCTTCCGCCATATTGTAACTCTGCCACAAAGCCTTTCGTCTCCTCGAAGCTCCTCAACTTCTCCTTACACAGAGAGGGAATAAACCTTCAGCTTCTACACAAGGCAAAGGCTCTTCCGTTCGCTCCAAGTAAGCTTCTGTTCGTACTTTGTTCTGTGCCCCAAGTCATTCCCTATTTGGACCTGAAATTTCGACCTCTGTTGTGATTTTCGTTTCATTTGTTGCTCTAGCGAGTTCTATCGCCACCGGATTCGACAATGAGAAGAGATGACTGTTACACGACGCAGCTGATTGATAACAATGGCGAGTTCAACGCTTCTGGCCTGCAGGATTTTGTCGGGAAGATTAAGTTGGCTGATTGTGGCCTTTCTTATGCGGTGGTCGCTATCATGGGGCCTCAGAGTAGTGGTATATGCCTTGTTGAAATCATTTTGTGTTTTTGATTGTGCTGGTTCGCCTCCATTTATACCTATCTAGTCTGTCGTTGCATTTTGATCAATTTCAACTATCTGAATTCATTTGTGTATGGGGCAGTGGTTGTTGTAGTTAAACATTCGGTTG